CTTTGGTTACTCGGCAAAAATTATTGGAACTGGGTTGGGATTTTTTGTCACACCCACCAAATAGCCCTGACCTTGCGCCTTCGGATTACCATTTGTTTCGTTCCATGCAAAACTCTTTAAATGTTAAAATTTGTAACAACGCGGATGATGTCGGATCACACCTAATTCAGTTTTTTAATAGCAAAGACCAGACATTTTACGAACGGGGAATTTTTACTCTGCCAGAACGATGGAAAAAGGTCATCGACAAGAACGGCCAATATCTAATTGAATAAAGTTATATTTTTAAACAAAAATGCCGAATTTGCCTTCTTATTTGAAATCGGCAATGACTTAGTTGCCCACCTAATACTTATATGTTCATTTATTAGGTTTGTGTACAGTATATCAGATAAGCGTATTCATAGCTCCAGTCAGTAGGAATTAAATTTTTTATTTCGGAGCTTAGTTTTCCCGAGTTCCATTTATTTGTCAGCCAAAATTATAAATATACCGATATTTTATTTGCCTAAGGGAAATATTACTGTTAATTTTTCCTAAAAGTGCATATTCGTCGTATGAAATAGGTTATCGGTTAAAAGATGTGCCAGGCGATGGTGGTTATACTCTTCTAGGTGATTGTTTTATAACCCCAAAACATTTTTGTTCAAAATTTGAAATATGCACAATATCTGTAGTATTAAATTTCTAGCCTAAGATCAGATATAACGTTTTAATGACCTTTCCCATTCGGTAGATAATGGAAGGTTTTCTGGCACGGCTTTAGCAGATTGTCAAAAACTATTTCTTAACAGATAAGGAGTTACTTTGACTCCTGTGGATTTAAGATAATTAGACATCCGCTTTATGCTATTCTCTATCACTATTTTCGTTTTTTTTAAAAATTTTAGAGTGATAATCCGCAAGCCCTATGTTGGCTCATCATTTCTGAGTTGGAGTCAGTACAAACAGATGGTGGGCAGAGCTGGTAGAGCAGGTCTGGATAGTTTTGGTGAAGGCATTACCATTCTTCAACCCAATGAGCGTGATGCTTTCGCTCAACTTATCAATTCAACTACAAGTAACAAAAGTTCTGTTGACAACGCTTGTGGCGGTGTTTGCTCAAGTAGTTTGCTCTATGAAAGTGGAAAGGGTCTTCGACAGCTAATGCTCTCTCTTCTTGGACTTGGAGTAATTAATAAAGTTGTTTTTATTCAATATATGGTATTAACTGAAAGTACAATCAGATTAGGGAAGAATTCAGTATTCATTGTGTCCTTATCTTGGAATGGGAAGTCTGGTTGATGCCTTTACGAACTCTATAGGATTTCGGTTATCCAACTGTTCTATCGTTATCATTGTGCCATTGTTTTTCATAAATTGGTTCACACCGACTCGAATACCTTATAAATAGGGTTCTAATTGGCATTCGTTTGTTCTTATAAGGCGTGCAATTATGTGGTAATCCTTTGCTTGTGGTAACCATAACAAATTTGTGTTCATATATCAGTCAAGTGAGAGTTATTGACGAATTTGAAATTAAAGTTTTTAGTTATCTCTCTTCTGTTGCCAAAATCTTAAGCTGTAATATGCAAGAATATGTACTTTTTTAACCACTAGAAGATCGATAATTATTGAATAGAAAAATTCAGATCAATAAGCACTGAACATCATAAATAATCACTCGCCACAATCTGCCGTCAGAATCATGGATACCGTTCTCTTGTAACATTCATTGGACTTTCTATTAACTGATTTCAGTTGCTTCCCGATTTTAAAAAATGTGTAATTTCCTTTTGTATCTCTGTGAGTAGTTATAGTAATTCTTAGCTATTCGGATCGGACCCCTGTGTCCTTACATCCATCTGAATTGAACTTACTGACCCTAAGTATTTCTGGTATCATGTCGATCCATAGTGCATTTATATATTTGAAAGATCAGGATTTGAATGGATTTCTTAATCTTGAACCTATATTACATATCAATATGCTTTGTAAAGATTAGCGTCGATTAAAGTCTCCATTCTTACTTCCCTTAATCTCCTCCTCTTGATTTGTTTTGGCAGAGTAACAACCTTTAGTCATTCAAGTCACTTGCATCACTAGCAAAGGCTATCAAAAGTTCATTCTCTTTTTTTCCTATTGTGATCTCACTTTATTATCCTGGAAGTCAATAACGTTCTATTTATATTTTCTTCAGTTGGCCAAGAGTTTGGAGGAACTTCTGGGCTGTGTCGGACAAACTTTCTTTGCTGTTCAAGCTATGAATAGGAATGGGAACTTGGACGAGCTGGCTGAGGCTGTTCGTGAGCAATTACAACATCTCGTGCTTGGCCGACTAGTGAGTTTGTCCACAAACTCCAACGTTACTCCCCTTCCCCTAACCAGATCGCCTCGTATTCGAACCGCAAATGCTACAGCTCATCGGGATCAACAGATTCATGACATTAAGTCCACACCTGCGGAGAAAATTGAGCTTAAGGTAGGACTGATTTTGTCTGCTAATGCTTACTACCTCTATTTGAAGTCTATGCACAACTGTGAAATATAACAATTTTATTGCGGAGGAACTTGAAACCAAGGTCTAATTTGAATAAGAAATACCGCTCATTATACTTAAGGCCAATTATCTTCTTTTGTTATTTTTCTGTCTTAAATGTTTTCCTATTCCTCAGCCGTTGGCTGGAATAGTTTATCGCAAATTGCCTCCCCCTACACAGTTTCATCATTGTATAGCATTTAATGTTACAGTATTTAGCTTTAAGTTGGAACAGATTTAAAAGCTTAAAATAGCCAAAGTAAGCCCTCTTTTGTCTTTAAGACCATGAATCTTAATTTTGATTTAAAAATAGTTGAGTTGTGTATTTTCGTAATCGAAGTTTCGCAACTATAAGCATCTTTTTCAAACCAGTTCTAACGAAATTGATAGTAGAATGATCGCGCACGTTTATTACATTGGTTGGTTGCTTCTAGTTCATGCTTATAGCTTCAAAGTGGTTATTTTGCCGTTTTCCTTCAAACCAGACGACACTTTTTTCTTTACCAAGGCTGGTCAATTGGGTCGCGCGGCAATTCGTGGGGGCCTGGACTCAGATCACATTGCCGATCTAATCGATGATCTTCGTCATGCAGCCCGAGCAATCAATACAGCAGGTCCCCTTCACTTGCTCTACCTTGTAGTGCCTCGTTCAGCATTTGTTGCCTCTGAACTCTCCGATGGAACTGGGGCAACCATGGCATTCAAAATGGACTGGAGTATTCTTTTTGAGCGCGTCAGCTGGCTCTCTCCTGAAGAAGCTAATATTATCAATCTTATTGGATTTTCCGACTCTTATTTGGCTAGGAAAGCTGCTGGGCAACCCATTAGAAAGGTATATCGATATTATTCAATTTAATATGAATCTGCCTTGGAAATCCTTTACTTTAAGTAAAATATAAAAATTGCAGTCTTGAATGACTGTAATTTATCTGTAGTAGCGTTTTGTGCCTCTTCGCAATTTAGAACTCACTTCGATTTTTAAGCGGTTTATCGGTATCTCCTTATGATCCAACACCTTTATGGAGGCTTTTTTGCTAATGGGGGGGGGGTTGTTTCCATAACACTTGACTTTAAAAGTTATCCCGGGGCGGTTCGTACTAGAAAAATTCGCATTCCTACAATTTCTCAGCGCGGATGGTCAACTGCGTTACTGCATTTTCGCCGGTGAACATTGATTACCTGATCTCTAGAAGGTGTTAATACCTTCACCTCGCTCTTTATATTCTCTCAATAGTGTTAAAAGTCGCACCTATGCTATTTTTCCCTCCAGCTTTGATTTCTGTCATGGAACTTCTTGATGTTAAAATTGGCTAAAATTTCCAGTCGTGTTGAGTGTTGTGTGCTGGTTTTTATTATAAATATTATACCCAATTAATTAATCTCTATCTCGTAGTTACCCTCTTAGTTTTAGGCTTTGGAAGGGGAAACGCAGGCGAATTTCGAAGGTAATGATAGTTGTGGAGTTGGCCGATGGTGCTAGACATTTGAGTTTTGTCCATATTTCTAAAATGACTGAGTGAGTAGGAGAGTTAGAACCAATCATCCACAATTCTTATTGAACTTGGGGATGATTTTTAATCACATCTTGCAATTACTCCAAGGCGAGCATTTACTAATCACAATAGCCAATAACTCAGTAAGCACTAGTGAATGGTCTGACTTAGCATAGCTTCAGCTAAAGTAAAAGATAGGCCAAAAGTAGTAAGTGAATCAAAAGGGTAGTGGCCCAAACGATTCCTGAACATCTCTGTTATCCACTCGTTCTCCTGCTATTTTCGTTCGGTGTCACGACTTAACTTCATATCCTCTTTGTAGAAACAAGATGAGACGCCACTCTATCGCCTCTACTTGGCTCTAGCTCTTTCTGAACTCTGGCCACCGCGTTGTGAACCTATCTGGCGAGTGGCCAGTCGCTACGGGCTCTCACGTGGCGCTCTCCAGTCGATGGTCCAGTCGGCATCCAGCCTGGCTGTGGGACTGGCACACGCACTGGCAGCGGAATACGCTAGTGATCCGGAGTTGTGGGCTTTTGCCCACCTATTACCAGATTTTTCATCCCGTTTGGCTTATTGCGTCACCTCGGAGCTCATTCCTCTTATGCAATTGCCCGGTGTGAAAAGAGTAAGTTCAGGAATTCTCACGTAATCAGCTTGCCTTACTATCATATCCTGGTGGTGTAGTGGGCAATATGCTCTTCAAAGGCTTCGAATTTCAGATTGCACCAGTGCTTAAGATCAACTGCACTGATTTAGCTGACCAACTGTTTTGGAATGAACGTTCAGCATTCTTATTTTTATTCAGTGCCAGTGTCAAAAAATGCTTTTTTCCATGCGATCGGAACTTGTCTTAACAACACTGGAATTCCTTCATGGCTTGCATCTCTCCCCTTAATAAGAGCCTTAAAATGGCTTTTTTATAGTCTCGAATGAATAGGGATGACTTTGTGGAATTTTAGATTCAAATTCTGAATTATGCTATTAAGTAAGCACTTTCATCCTACAGAAACTCGCAAAATCGTGAATATTGGAGCTATTAAGAACAAAAGGGATAAGTTTCAGTTGAATACTAGCATACGTTCTTAAAAGATGAACACTAGTTAAATCAAACAGCAATTAGTTTGATTAATGCAATAATTTAATTGTCAGCGTTATTATTAATTTGAGTAAGATGAATCAGATCTGAGTTACTTTGCTATGAACTTGCAATTCATATCCATTTACAGTTTGGCCCCCTCCCAATCACCGCTTACATTTTCCATAACTTCCAACGACCTCACTCCCCGAAATTAAAAAAACGGTATCAATTGGGCCTATTTTTATAAAGACCTTAATTGTTAGAAGGTTTTGATCTTATGCGCTCCGTTTACCTACTACTGTAGGCTCGCGCACGGCAATTATACGACGCAGGTTTCAAGACGATCGGAGAGATTGCTTCAGCGGAACCTTCAACGCTTGTCTCCGCAATGGCTCCCTTTCTATCACGTCGAGCAGCCCGTGAAATCGTTCAAGCTGCACGAATGATCCTTACTGAAAGAGTTGATGCTCTTCAGAAGGAAGCGGCAGATATTGCTGATCTGTTTTCTTCCAAAGCAGAAGGATCATCTGAGGAGGGTGGACATGATGACATGAAGGGGAATCGATCAGATCTTGGGAAAGATAATGAAGAAGAAGGGGAAGAGGATGTTGATCTTTTTGCTTAGCCCCTGTACTACCTGATTGGATGCTTGTAGACTTGGGTGACGAAGGAATGTGGCGCTAAACTGCATGGTTAATCCAAGGGAAGGATCTACGCATAGTGACTATAACAATTCTTGTTCTGTGATTATTGTACTTTAATTATTACTCTTATTATCTTGAATATGTGTAATTTGAGATGTTACTTCCATAGGAATATAAATAAATTTGTTGCCTAACTTTGCTGTTTAAAATATTAGGTCTACGAACATGAGTGGCGAAAATTTGTTAAATTAATTGACTGTCGTAATGAAGATTGCCTTAATAATCCTTTATGATGTCATTAATCGGCGGTTGAGTTCCAAATGCTGTGGCATTAACATAGAAGCCTTCAATAAATTATTTTTGGTCTTTATTCAATGCTAGCAGCGACCGATGTTTTACCTTCTAATTTGGAGATCAATGTACCCTTCAACCTTCTTTCTTTTTTGTCTTAGTCCTTAAGCATTTGATCGCCCGTTATTTATATTGAACACCTTATACTTCAAATGTGAATGCTCTTAACATTGGGCATTCTATTTTAACGAATTCGCGAAAGAACACTGAAAAGTGCTGCTAAAAGGTGCTACTGTTTAATGATAAGCAGAAATAAGTAGCAACACTAAACAATATTAAGACCCGTTATGCACAAGGCGCTTAATTCGATGTGAGACAACTTGGGCTGAAAGACAAAGTGTAAGAAGGTTAAAAAACATAACACGACAAATGTAAGGATGGGTGAGAGACGCTATGCAGAAGCACAATTTGGTAGTTAACTAATATGTAGGTCCTTTAGAAAAAATATATCAAAAAATAAGAATTAACATTGAGAAGACACCTCAAACCCAAGTGGTTTGAGAATTTCCAAAATCAGATTTGGTTAATATTGCTTTTATCTGAATACCATCAACGAAGTTGGCACTATTTTCCTTTCAAAAGTAGCAACAAAGGAACGCCATATCTTTCGAGCTGAGTAGCGAAGAACTAATAAGCCAAAAGATCATGGAACAAACATCCCTCAAATACGATTAGTTATGACCCAGGAGGAATAAACTTGCTTACTCAGTTAGTATAGGACATGTTACCTTAGTGGATAAACTACCGAGAATTTATTGTTGGAATATTTAAGAAAATGTGTATGAATATCGATATCACATTAGGAAACAGCATAGTTTGCAATAAATAAAGAGCCTGGCGCAAATGGAACGTGCCTAACATGAAACGTGGTTAAACCAAATTTTACCTGCTTGATTATGAAGTTAAGCGTAGGTAAAAATGACACTTTGTAAGAAGAAACTAAATTTAACAACGGAATCATCTAAGAGTGTAATGAAATACAGAGCGTATAAAAATATACAGAAATAAAATTCGATTTGATTCACTCAAGAAGCAACAATAAATTTTGTTGAAAGAATGAGTGAAAAATTTAGATTAATATTCAGATACACACAAAATTTTAAGACTATACTGGAGTCTGTGGTAATAATGTAAGAACGACGGCAAGAAATGAAGATAAAAATAAGTGAGCAAAACTCTAACTAAAAATGAATGTAAAGGACAAAAATTATCTAATGAAATCGTAAATTATGACTAAGATCATGGGATGTCATACGAACATCGTATTCGAAAAAGGTAGATTAAGGAGACAAGACAAAGATGGATGAAAATATTTATTCAGTATTTTACTACAGATAGACGAAAGTTAACACAACTAAGGACGCTTCAAAGCAGAATCCCAGTTATGTTTAAACCCGGGAGTGAAGTCGCTGACAGAAACCCCAGTCTCACTTTGACTGAAATATTAAAACGTAATATGAATTTAATGGAACCGATTATAGGAAAATTACCAATAAAGATATCAGTTTATAATTTATGATATGATACTGTTATAAACTTACCTAGAGCCATCAGAAAGCCTTTTTGGTCCACTACTGAAAACCTCGAAAGGTGGTTCGACTGAGCGTCGGAGGTCGCGATTATAGTAGTAATTTTCTGATAACTTATGTGCTTTGCCTGGGGGAAGATTAGCTGGTGGCTGCGTCCGCTTAGCCATCATATCTCCATAACGCAGAGCGTTGTTATACTCACGCTAAATATACCCATAAATATAGACAGCAATATTACCATTAGAAGAAAATCCCTGATTTTCACCATGAATGGCGTTAACCTAAACTTAGCCCTTGAAGCCATCTAGCCGATTATGTGCAATTCAAAAGACGCGCAGAAAAGACAAGATCTTGTGTAATTTTTATAACATTAAAAGTTGATTAAATAATATGAATTTATGCAAATTTAAAATCTTACACGTATTCCACTAATATTATAATTTATTATTTGTTTAGATACGTGAGATTTAAAGCGGTCAAATTATATCGTCAGCTTTTCTTTACTGGACCTTTAATCGAGATGAATATTTTACCGAAGAAAAGGCATGAATCTTGTTGTTTTTGAAACGTTATTTTTAGATGGCATGTTAAAAATAAGGACAATGCTGCCCGTGTCGAGGCAGACGAAGCTCGTGATAGGAAAAAGAAAAACGATGAAAAAATTAGAAGTCTTATTGCTGTATGCTTTCTCTTATTTCTGAGTTGTTTTAGACACAAGAAGCTAGAGCTGACTATCTTAGAAAAAGGGCTCGAGGAGATGAGTCTGGAAACAAGAGCATAATTACATCTCAGGATGCTCTTCGTCTTTTCGCGGATGTTGAAGAAAACGCACGTCTTACATGTTAATTTTTAATGTATTCTCTCATAATAGCGCAATTTAATCACATCAAACAAAGAATATGAAGAGGAATTGAAGCAAGAAAAGGAGGCGCATGAGAAAAAGCTCGGAATTCTGAAATATTTTGGGGAAACAGAGGATGGAATGGCAAATGTCACGCCTTGGTGGTTGGAGGTTCCGAAACGTTCCTCTAATTCACAGCAAAAGGACCAAACGCCACAAACGTTTGTTTCCATTTAATATTCCCTTACTTTACATTTAGATTGGTGGAAGCAGATGCGATACGCAAACAAAAAGCCGATCCTCTCCTGCAGATGAAGCAAGTTGAGGAGAAATTCGATCGAATTCGAGAAGCTAATAGAGTTGCAGCAAAAAAGGAACGAGTAGCTGCGGCTCAAGTCGCATCGTCTTACTCGTCTCTCTTTGCAGATGATATCAAACCTCCAGGGGTATTTTTTGCTCATATTTTTTATTCTTTTCGTTTTCCTTCCACAAACATTTCTTTCAAGCCTTCACTCTACTTCAAAATAGCGAAGTGCCTATTTTGCTATCTTTTCGCTGCTAAATATTTTTTTATTACAATTTTTTACCAAGCTAGTGACTGTTTGTATTTTTGAGTGCAAACTTTACAATTTTTTGTCCATTCGCATCCCAATTGCTAACATTTCTAATGGAAGGTCCAATTTACCCATCGTTATTTGTAGTGTGTGGTCATCTGTTTGTGATGTCCCTTATTTATTTCTTGGTTTTGTATGGTTGCTGAAGTAGATATTTCCTCAAGTGAATTTGTTCCTCGTCTCGGGTACTTGTATAGTTTATTTTCTGATTATTTCGCAACACCATCTGAATATCTAATTACAATGAATTTGTTGAGGATATGACTCAGTCGCGATGAAAATAGCTTTATCGGAGCTCTCTGAATCGATTAAATGACTTTAGGGTAAATGAGAATTTTTTGCATCTGATAAAATACTATTTCAGTCACAATGTTAATTCATAATTGCCTTGACTACTTAACTTAATTTCCTCGTTATTTATCTTAAATTAATGATCACCTGTTTACCGTTTAATGCTTTCGGTTTAATCCTTGGAGTTCAATCTTATTTTGAGACAGGTTAATTACTATGCATAATAAATTATTAACTGAAAGAGCTATTATTTTGTTTAGCGAGCTAAGCCGAATCTAAAGGTCTCATGCAGTTAATATCTGTTTCTCTTTTCGTATAGACTAAAAGAAATAGTGATGAGAAAGCACCAGATGAAGAGGATTCAAAACGTCGTCGATTGGAGCGCCTCAGAGCTGAGAGATTGGCTCGAGAGAGGGGTGAACGAGAACGTGCTGCTGTAGTGCTCTGTAAATCCATGGGTCTTTCATCTATGGTGAACGCAGCAGCGGCATCTATTGAAGCAACTTCCACAGTAACAGATGAACGAAATCTTCCCTTCAACTCGGCATTCAATCCAGAACTCTCAAACTTTGCGGCTGAACGCAGAAATGCTCATCGAGAGGAGAAAAAACGCAGGCGTTATTCTCACAAGTGAAGATTCCATTGTATATAGTGTTGTACATATTAACTACTTTACATCCCTACTTTGTTCTTCTTTTGTCCCAAAAATATTTCCAGCTCTCAGCTTTTTTGCTTTTCTCAGTATTAAATTAGATGTGGATATTTTGAATTAGTTTCTAAAAACGTGCTGTTCTGTAAAGTGGGTCTTGAGTGAAGTAACCTATTTGAACTGCGGTAACACCCATTGAAATGTACTACTCTGGGCTTGATCTCCTACATATGACCAAATTTATTCTGAAAACGAAAAGCACGCTTGGCATTCCATTGGACACGCATGTCGATCCATGTCAGCACTGCCCCAAAGGTCATTTGGTTCCTATTGGTTGCTTATTGTTAAGCCGAGATTATAACTAGCGCACCCTTATTTGGCCTTCGTATCACAACTTTGTCTTCCAATTTGGAAAAGGCTGTTGATTATCAAAGATAGGAAATTCCTTAATCTGGCTACTTCATGGCTTTCTGATGCCAATAAATTGACGCTTTAGATGTGATAGAGTAATGTAAATGCCCATATCTCCTCGGGTTATCTTTTTTAAATTAAGAGCTCTTCTCCTGAAGTTATGCGTTTAGGATATTACAGCGAGAGATTGCCGTTCTGTTTTAACCGAATTATTTGACCCTGTTCAAAACAGATACAAATAAGAATCTTGTCTCAATCTATGAGACTTTTAAGTTATCATAACCCCGATCCTCACAAAATTGTTACATTACTAATTCTAAAATGCAAAATGTAGCCAGTTGCGCTAAAAGAAATATAAACCCTATTTCTTGAAAAACCTTAATCCTCTTCTTCAACCCAGAAATCCAAAAATTAACCAAAAGTAATGCCATCCAATATTTCAAGCCAATAGTACTTTATAATGACGATACTCTGAACCTAATTTTCCTACTCATTGGCCAGATTTAAAACTACACAGTTCAACTAGAATCCTATTTAGGGGTTATCACGGGCTTAAAAAAACTTTAAGACCGAAATGTTGCGCTTACAAGGCTTTGGTTGAATAACACCTGTTTTATAAACTATTAGCTTTCAAGCAAACAAATCCGAGTTTTTCCAAAGTGCGATAAAAAAATGAATAAGAAAAGCAGGGCACGATTAACTATTTCCCGAGTGAACTGTAAAGAGATGGCGCTTTTTCGATCCAAAAACCGTCTGCTGATGGGTTGGTTGAATTCGAAGTTGTTGTTGTTGCTGGGGATGTAAAATTGGCTGAGTCTCTTGCAAAGGAGCTCTTGGGGGCATATAAATTTGCGACTCCTCGGGCACTTGATCTTGACTCTGCTCTTGCATTCCCTCGAACTGGGCTTGGGACTGAGTGAAATCAAACCACTCGTCTGTTGGCATAACGTCAATCTTCTGTGTATTCATTGGGGCCTGATAGGGAGTAGAAAAGTGATTTTATTGAACAATGGGGTATGATTAAAAAGAGTAGTTATTTATGTGCCGGTGGTTCAGTGGTCAACGTCCACATCTGTCACTTCGAAGGTGATAGATTCGATACCACCGGTGAGGTGCCTAAGTCTAGCTTGTATAGAGGGCGACAGAATCCGAATAAGTCAACGAGAACGTTCCAATATGATTAATTTGAAATACTTCTCAATTATTATTCCTTTCTCATTCCCTATCTCTCTCTCTCTCTCTCGTGTTGACTTTTTGCAACTTCAGTAATAGCTTTTCATGCAACAACATATGCAATAATGATGATGATGAGTAAAACAGAAATAACCAGTCGTGTTTTGTAAAAAGTACAATTAGCTAATTTAGTCGAGTTGACTCCCAGCGTTTGAGAAGCTGATTACTGCAATGTAACTAAGTTTAAAAAATTGCGTAATCAAAAGCATTTACAGCTCACCAGTTGGAAGTAGGATGGTTGTGCTGATTGTCTTGTGACCATAAGGTCACTTGATTTGCACCATTTTGAATTTGGCAACTCCACAAAATCACTGCATCCCTTCCCATCCGAGGAATTGGATGAATTGTCCAATAGGGGGTGTGATCCCTCGGACATTACAAGAACTGGCGGTACAGCAGCAACCTTGAGAGTTTTGCCTTTGACCAGTTCTGCTGTTGCTTCTGTAGTAGATTGCTGTTGTGGAAAATAGGCTCGCTTAAGGCCAACTCCAAGTGTACCATCCGGGGCCTGTGGCTGAATCACTGCAGCATTGACAGGAGTCTGAAATTTAAAGCTCTCAAATGTCGTCATAGAGTTACGATATGAGACAGTATCGTAGACATTTTTCTAAGATTTCCGATGAGCAGAAAACATATTGTTTTTTCATGTTCATTATTATTAACATTGGATAACCAAATAGACTATATAATGCCGAGTGAAATTAGTAGAAAGTCCGAAATTTAAACTGACCTTATTACTGTCATCTAACACTAGTTCGAATTTTAAGATCGGAATGGTGGTGAACAGCCAAATTGACATAATTGAAAAAGATACATCAATTGAAATTATTTGATCATGAAAATACTTATTCAATAACTGAACGGTTTAGTTGATTATAGGTAATTTGGTACGATTTCGTGGATTCCACATACAAGAGGTCAAGAGAACTATCCAAGTAATGACTTATCAATGCCATTTACCCGATATCTGTTTTGCATATAAATAACTAAAATACCTGTTTCTTCAAGTCTGAACAAAGAATAAGGGAATTAAGGGTCATTATTAATCACTCATGATTTAAATTAACTAAGCAAACCTTTTTTATCTTTTGAATTGAAATTTCGGAAGGCTGTGGAGGCCATTGGTTGATGGAAGAGTGAGCACCAATAGATGATCTCTTTCCACTTGATCTAACTGTAGGCTTGGACTTCATCAGAATTTGTTCAATTTTACTCTGCAATTGGGCAACCTGTACTTGAGCCTGGTTTTGGACCTCGCTTATCTGCAAATGTAGACATTATGAAAAGATTTCGATAACAAAACAATAATAATAATAATAATTTCCTACCTGTCTCATTATCTCAGCACGAAAGTCTGGCCCTTCTTCCTGGGCAGACTTTTGCTCTTTTGTTTTCATTATCTCAGCTAATTCGTTTGCATGTTCAACAAGAAGCTATAAAGGAAAGGTACGATAAATATTCACATCATATTAATAAAAGCATTTACGATTTGCACATATGCCAAGTTCCATGAGTCAAGTTCTATTATTGAAATTAACTGCTTTACAGGTAAATGTGATCAAGAGATCGAGAAGTGAGGGGTGTAGAGATACCATCTTGCTTCGAAAATGAATTTAGAAAAGAACTTCCATCCAAGGCTTATGAGTTTGTACTTGCACTAGGTTTAAAATATATAATTACGTTTAACACAAATAAATACAAATTGGTTCAACTTTAACGAAAAATAAAGCTTCTTTTCTTCATAATCAGTACCCCACCCGTTCACCAAGTTAGGGTCGCAAGATAAATAATTTGTTTCATAACAGTTGAATGAAACGAATAATTACAAGTTGATCGATAGAGGAATGGGAGGATTCGCACTTCTCTACCCGAGAGGTCCTGGAATGCTCCTACTCTGCAAAAGACGGTCCCTAGAAATTGAATATTTTCAAAGGACTGGAGAATTATTTCCATTTGATAGCCCTGCATAGATTCTAAAATCGAATTCAGTGGCTTCAAATCTAGACGTGTGCAGATCCTTTACAGCTTCGTCAGTAACTTTTCATGGCCGAATTATATTATTTACACGCAACAACCTTTCAAAATGGTAGGTACCAATTACTCAATATTATTTATTTATTTATATCAAATGGTAGGAGTTTTGATAGTTATCATTAGCCCTTTAGTTGACTTCAAGCTTCAGTTATCATTAGCCCTTTAGTTGACTTCAGGCTTCGCAGAGGGGAGGAGGAACATCAAAGTGAATAAAAGTCGAGAGGGGGGAACGGAAGAGTGTTTTAAAGATGTAGATGAAAGGTGAGGTGAGTACTGTCGAAGTGGTCGAATATCACATACAGTGGGGTGATGCTAGTTTGAAGTGAGAAGCCAACTGCCGGTTAATAGACTTTTTTGCCGTATGAGCATACGTTGCCCAGGGTGCACCACGTGGAGGTAAGTCTATCG